AGTTCTAATAATCATTGTCGATAAAGTCTAATGTTAGATTACTATTATTAAATAATAATAAAATTGTTAGGGGGGATCTTGACAGTTTTACATTAAATTTAGGAGGCCCTATAAAAAAAAAGGTTGAGAAGCACTGCATTAATATAATATACTGTGTAACTATATACAAATAATATATCAATCAATTGTTGTATCATTTTACAGTTCTATACTAGTACTAGAATATTGAAGGTACATAATACTGGTCAGAATACCAATTTTTCATGTACAAAATAAAATATTGTTATTTACTAGAATTTGTGAGTTAAAAAAATTTAGTACTTGTACTTTATATAATTTTTGCGTAAAAAGTCGAAAAAATAAGCGTAAAACGTTTCGAAAAATCTAAAACACGATATCTATGACTGATAAGTATACGATAACTGAAAAATCGTGATAGCTCGGCCGCCGCCGCGAGGAAGTAACGCGATTGGCCGGTCTTAGGGAATCCGTAGAAGAAAAACGGAATTCTTCCATGGGTTGCTTAGAACGATATATATAAGATTTCAGTATTTGGGACAATAATATAGTCGTTTGTTTAGGTAGTCAATATAATACATATATATATCTAAAAGACGCATTGTTTCCTAAATAAGCACAATAATATTTATAACATCCTTGATTAAGAAGCGGAACAACGCCGCACGACGGTGGTACCAATCACAGACGCGTGAGTGGCAACAATTCAACMATGTTTCGGTTAACCGCCGCTAGTAAATCGCRTTTCGCTTCCATTTGTTTATATTGTTGTTTCCTTGACACTTGTCTGTTTGACAGTTGTCGCCCGGTCGCCGTTGTAAGTCAGTTCATCAATTTGATTACCCACACACTACACAGTCAAGAATCAACAATGGCCGTAGATAAAGGTGTAAGTATTAACAAGAATTTGCGCGTCTAACATCTAAAACAAGAGTTDCGGCATGTTTAATGGTGTCCAACACCCGACACTAAAATGTTGCTCACCCGTCTCGACATGTTACTCAGTTAATGTACATACCTCGTGCTCGCGTCCCGGTCGGCGTTTTACCCGCGCAATTTCCTATGTATTTTCCGTCATAACATTGAGTGATTCACGGGTTTGACACTTAGCCCAAACGACTGGGGTTTTTTTTCATTGCTGTGTGTGATCATTTATTACACAGATTGTGATCAAATCCGTCTCGTTAATTAACAATCGACATTTTCGAAATTGCACCAGTGGCGCGTACCCCCTACCCACCACCCATAGCGTCTTTTTTACCGAATTGAAGCTCGTTGTAACAATATCGTCGCGCGGTAATAACAATTATTATAATATCCCAAAAAGTATTAACCTCACACCTTAAATTTACCTCTATCATCATCCAACTCATGAGGTTGACACAACTATTATCGTTAACATTGAATATATTTGGCACGTTAATCGTCTGGACAACCAACAGTCACAAATGTTATTATTTCATAATTATGTGATTCATACTAATTCTTGTTGTTTTGATATTATAATATTATATTCATATTGCTTAATGTTTGTAAAGTCTTTTAAAAATTAGAACATTTAATGATGAACTAATTTATTACAAATTTAAATTTTGTCTGTTTTTATATCTACCAATCAATGCTATAAAAAATGCTGTGTTCCTATTATAGGATGCGCCTGAACATATTAACCTCAAAGTGCTTGGCCAAGATAATGCTGTGGTACAGTTTAAAATTAAAAAACATACTCCACTCAAAAAACTGATGAATGCCTACTGTGAGAGAACTGTAAGTATAAACCGGGTAAAAACTATATTTTATTGAAACCATTATAATTCCAGTTACTAAATCTTAGACTATAATTTTATCATGTACCTAATATTTTAAATCAAAAATCAATTTGAAATGTATGTATTAAATTCAACCATTCACTTGGGCATATATTTCATAGCGCAAATTAACTCACCGATTTACCGCAAACAAAGTAGTTAAGATTTCAAACTTGTTCCAAAATGACTACTGCTAGTTGTTAGTTTTTGAACTCTAAAAATTGTATAGCCATATTGATTAGTCAAAATAATTTCATTCGAAAGAGAGTAAAATTTCCTTAAAGTTGGCTGATCATAAAAAAAACGGTACTTGTGCGTTATCGCGACTACCGCCGACTCGTTGCGACTACCTTATTTTCACTTGTGCATTATCGCGACTACCTTGATTTCGAACGCAACATATTTTTAATGTGTTTATAATAATACAAAACTACCCAAAGCTATAATGTCAATGTCTTTATTGATAATACGAAAACAATTATAA